ATGAATACACATATATGTTCTGAACTCCAATGTGTCACTTCCATGTCAAGCAAAGGTGACATGCTCTCTTGCGTCTTGGTGCATTGTGGCTGTTTGTCATTATTATGCACTGTGGCGAGTCTGGTGTTTTTAGTCATACCCTGTTGTGCGATAGAAGAAAGCAAAGCCTGCTTATACATGGCTGCCCCAAGTACAAAGATAATTATAAAATCTACATAGACGCAAGGTACTTAAAAATATTTTAGTTTTAATAAAATAAATATATTGGCCACAGTTTCTGGCCTCCTTTTTGAATCTGTTTCTTGTCCACCTTTTCAAACTATGCTTTAGAATAAGCAAGCAGCCATTGAGTCAAAAAACATTGTCTTTGTGCTTAATCCAGGCATGTGATTCAGAAGCAGCAGCCAGAAAACTAGCATTTTCAGAAGGAGTGTAGCAGTGTCAGTCTACATATCTCACAACATTTGGCTATAATTAAGGATGCACTGATACCATTTTTTCAAGAACAAATACAAGTACCGATACGTTTTCCTCAAGTCCTTGCGGCTACCTTTTTTTTTTTTTTTGTCATATGTGTCATATGACAGTTTTTCTAAAACAATGCATACTAATGATTTTAGGACAGTGGTGGAGCGCCAGAGCCAGGTCCCAGCTGCGACACTGCTAGTTCTGCTACTGACTCCAAGCTGTAGAGGGACTACAAATCTCTTCAATACATTATACAGCAATGCAGAATAATACCACCCGCTATAGAGGACTACAAATGCCAGCAATGAAGAATAATATGAAGCTACATACTTTGTGCTGCTCACCAGGGCTGTGCGGGCGGCTGTGGTTCTCTCCAGGGCTGTGCGAGCGGGTGCGGGACTCCCCAGTGCTGTGCCAGGTCTCACAATGGGTGTGCAGGCAGCAGGAATTAGGAGGAGATCTGCGGCCGGACCGATGCTGTAAACAGCCGCCGCAAGGTCCCCACAAGGCTGCCATGAGGCCCCCAGCAAATGCAGGACCTTACAGCAGCTGAATCTATTTAAAAAAATTAAGTGCCCGTATCGGCGAGTAGTATCAGGGCATTTTCAAAATACGAGTACTCGTGAAAATGCCCAATATCGATACTGGTAGGCGCATCTCTAGGTATAATAATGTTAAGCTGATCTTTTTCATCTACCGTATTTGCTGGCATATAAGACAAGTTTTTAGACTTAAAAACATCCCCCGAAAATCTGGGGTCGTCTTATACGCTGGATGTGCGGTAATACTGTATGTACGGTATCATTGGCTACATACAGTATACCGTGCTGAGCCAATCACGGCGAGCGATGTATTCTATTAATGAATACAAAGCCTGCCGTGATTGGCTCAGCACGGTATACTGTATGTAGCCAATGATACCGTACATACAGTATTACCGCACATCCAGCGGGCTGACAGATTAGCCTCCCTGGCGGTCTGATTATTTTATTTTTTATATATTTTTTTTACTTTTAAAATTCCCGCCCCCCCTGCGACGCGGACACTCGCAAGGGACGGAACCCAGATGACGGAGGACACAGCGGGGATCGTGGACCAGGTAAGAGACTGTAATCCCGAGTGTGGCTCCGAGGTTACCGCTTATGGTACTGAAAATTAACCCAGAGCCACACTCTGGAATGCCGCCATGGAGGTTAGTGGGCGTATTTAAACATTATTTTGGGCTATACTCGTCTTATACGACGAGTATAGCCCAATACCTGTGTTTTAACAGAAAAATTAGGGGGTCGTCTTATACGCCCAGTCGCCTTATATGCCGGCAAATACGCTATGTATCTAAAATACATTAATGAGGCTTTTACATTCTCTGTAACAAGTAATCCTGGGCCTGGGTGGCTGGGATGGAGGTTTGTCATAGCCAGGGAGGAGCTCAGCTCTTGTATATTACTACTGATAGCATGCCTTCCCAAGCCTGAGGGGAGGAGGCATTGGAAAGTGGTATCTTTGTACTCTCCTAATGCAGCAGAGTAAGCTCAGGTGCTTATTTCAGATATGGAGGGCGCTGTTTTTGCAGCACATATGTTTTGTAAAAAAGTTGTGACGAAAGAAAAACTTGCAGCATGGTCAATATTTACACAGGACATTTGCTTCTGGATCATTTGGCACAGATGGTGCAAGCCGGTGTCCTAGAGGTGTATATTGTAGTAGTTTAGACTAGAGGTGCACTGAAATAAAAAAAATTGCGAAACCAAAATAAAATAAAAAAGTCAAACAAAAATTTTTTTTATTTTAACTTTTTCAAAAAAAAAAATTTTTATAAACCTTTTTAGATTTTTTTATATTTATTTGTATTCATTTATTAAATATTTCTATTTTTTACATTTACTTTTAGGGGCTTCGAGGAAATATTAGGGGTCTAAACAGACCCCTGATATTTTCCCTTTTTAAAATAGAAAAAGAGATTGAGGACAGAGTCTTCAATCTCTTTTTCTGAAGGCTCTGTTCTAAATGAACAGGAATCCTCTATACTGAGTGTTCCTGTTCATTCATAACTTGAGAACATTGTGTTTACTATAACCACAACTATGAATGAACAGGAGGTGATGTAGATCACTTCCCATTCATTCATAATAGAGGATATAGTAACCATACTATGTCAATTATTTACAAACACTCAGCGATCACTGAGTGTTTGTACCTCACTCTCCATCCTGACACGCTGTCACAGGAGGCTGAGTGAGCGGTGTAGGGAGGATCGCTCAGCCTACTGAGATGGCGCTGGCTGTCTCTGCTCACACCGCTCTGCCAATCTGTGACAGGAGGCTGAGCAGTGCGGGGAGGAGAGATGCTGGCCGCTCGCAGCGCTCGGCCGCCTGTGACAGTTTCTCTCCTCCCCGCTGGGACACAGAGCAGCGCCCAGCAGGGAGGAGAGAAAGAATGGATGCACCGCTGTACCGGCCAGAAAATGGCACTTTTGGCCGATATATCGGTGGATTCAATGTTGCTCTATTGGAGTTGTGCTGAGGATTATACTGTAGAGCCAAAACAACATGCAATACAATGTCATTATTTGGCCATTTTAATTAAGAAATATTGTGGGCCAGCCTAGCAGCAGTCTGGGGCCAAATTTGAAGCTACCTAACTACTTGTCTGACGCTGCTCTAGAATGTATTCAGTTTGTGGTGATTGTGTTTTTTGCATTATTGTGTGTACTCTGCATTGCATAACAAATCCCATGTGCTGCTTTTTGTGTGTGTCGTAGCTGTCGCGCCCAGTTGTTTTACACATCTGTAACGCTGAAGATGATCATTTCTGTTCATCATTGTTAGATTTCCATTTACACCATCACCCTCTTCATCCACAGGATCAGCTTTCTCCCAGTGATTGATTCCTCTGTCTCTGCATGAACCAGTAAAAAGGGTAATTATCATTCTCTTTATTGATTAAACCTCATGTAAGCACACATTTAGAATAATTGTTTATTTGTTGAGTGCACTCATTGCTTTGATCAGTCCTTTTCTGTTCTTCTGTCATTGTCTCTATTATTTTCCCCATCCCTTTTGATTGTAAGCTCTCACCGGCAGAGCCCTCCTTACCATCTTGTCTTGTATTGTGATTGTAATGTCTTCCTTATAGTGTAAAGCGCTGCACAAACTTTTGGCGCTATATAAATCCTGTATAAAAATAATAATAATTACAGACCAACTCACTTAAAGCTGAATTTCAGGCAGATATAAAAACACTGATTCATACTACTGCATAATTATAGCTGAACTCTGGGAGCAAATACTTTCTTTTAAATACAGTATATTCCTCAGTAGCCACAATGGATATAAATCTTCTTTGTGTGCACCAAGTGGCTAGGGGCCAATCGTGTTCTGCAGCTGTGCACATGTGCTGACCAATGATCATTCTGACAGGAAGCGAAAGGAGATGGATGGCATCATCAGTGGGCTGCTGCATCATTGCTCAGGTAGCCGGTTGGGGTTGTGTCTGCTGCAGTGGTGGTGTCAGCCCTGGCTATGGTGTCTGGGGTGGTGGGTGCAATGATTAACAAATCCTTCGGCAGTTAAGGTCCCATTCACGAACTGTTTGCATCAAGGGCCGGTTGTGCGCAGGTCATCGCTGCATGTCTGATTACATGAGTGGTCCTTCAAGCTGTCATTTCTTTTGTATAGAGTTTTTCATCTGCAGCTGTTCGCATGATTCTCAAAAAAGCAATTTATGAGACTGCCCCAGACGCAAGTGTGAACGGGGTCTTAAACAGCCCTCATATTTCAGTGGTGTATTTATATAGATTTTGGGGTCCACTGTAACAAAATGGAACAGGAAAATGTTGTTCAATGGAGCTAATAGGAGTTTATGATTTAAACTGTAAAGTAAGCTTGCACTCTCGATGTTGGGCTTCATGTTGTGAAGAGTGGAGGGGAGGTAAGTCATCAGGTGTGCACCCTCTTTCTTTGAGGTTTCATTGATGAGCACGCTCAGAGGGCTTAACAGTGATACTTGGCAGCGCAGGTACACCCCCTTGCAGTCCAGTTGTTGTCTTTCCTTTTAATACAAATCCAATTGTTGCTTTTTTTTTCTGCTGCATTTGACAAGGACTTGATTGCTTGTTGAAGCGTATTCCCTATCCCCACTGTGCATTGTGACCCACAAGGCCAATGCAGTGCTCAGGATCTAGCCATTTTAAGGTAACCCTAGGAGGTGCTAATAATGAAGGAATTTGTTGGAACAAAAATCTTCTCTGTGACAAGTGGGAGCAACCTTGCATGCACTGGCAAGCGAATCACACTAAACACAGCAATGGGTCCTGGCACTGAGAACAAGGAGCAGATGACTCCCTGCCTGTCATTATGAGAGAAATATCTGCCCAAGTGTGCCTAGCCTAAAGTAGGGTTTACATTGTTCTTATTGTTCTTATTTTATTTCATTCAACCTTCAGGCTGAACAAAAAAAATATAGCAGATTCCTCCAGCCATGCTGAACACTGTTTCCCCCCTGTTTCCATTGTATTACTGCTGCAAGCACCATTCAGCCGGACATTTTACAACATGTTGGGGTCACCAACAGAAACTTGCTTCGTGTGTACCCAGCTTAAGGCCCTGTTCACATCATTGCGCAGAGGTAATATGCCTTGGTGTGATGCCATTCATTCTGAATGACGTTCCAATGCACCTTGCTAATAGATATGTGTTGCAGCAGACCACTAAGCATAGTGCTTGTACCTGCTTTGTTGTGTTAGGAAGCCCACTCAGATTAATTTGACTGCCTTAAAGAAAATCAAAGCACAGTAACATGCACCCCAACATTGGGATGCCAGCCCAATCTTTGCCAAAGTAACATTTTTTTGTTGTTGTAGGAATGTAGGTGGATCCCAGGTGGGGTGTTTAAGCTAACGACACTCAGGAGTTACATCTTCACAATACATTCAAGTACCTTAACTATTAAAAATAATGTACTTCTGTGATGGACAATAACTTCAATACAAATTAGTAAACTAAACCTGAGATTGTAGTCCATCACAGGAGAGAGCTTGGAGCGGTGACTACTTTACAACACACACAGTGACCATGGAGAACAAAAGTAGCCACCCTCCAGAAGGAAGGACAGTGTCAGCACCAATTCAGAGAATCTACAGCCGAGCGATGCTCAAAGTCCAGTTTTGTTAATATTTAGGGGATTTGAATGCATTTTAAAATGTAAAGTAGTATCAAATTCTCAAACCTTTTTTCAATAATGAATCTAGATCAAACAACTATACATTGCCCAGCACAGCATTGCTTTACATTTTTGCCCAAACACTTACAATCATCATGTTTCTAAACAGCTGCTTCCAAGTCTCTCAGCTCAATTTCCCTGAACTTCCTGTCCATTACAAGATCACAAAGGACAGTGCAGACTCCAGCAACTGTTCATCTACTTAGCTTGTAGGAGGGGGGTAGCTTAATTTGCTGTGATTTTGCACTGCTTACTAGCACACAGAATGGTGACTGCATAGCACTCTGCTTGAGAAAGGAGTCACTCTAAAACAGGAAGTCAGGACCAGTGCTCAGGAGACCAGCTGATTCTGCAGGAAACTAAAGCTTTTAAACATCAAGGATCAGCATCCATTGTAAGTGATTCAAACAGCATTTGAAATAGCTTAAAATCCTTTTGACTTTAATGTCATTAAGTCCTGAGTTTAGTGTCACTTTAAATAAAGGACTTTAGTTAGGGGAGGCACTGCTACTTTTTAAATGCCGTGTCTGATGCTTACTTCTGTGATCTCTGGACAACAATTATAGCTAAGACTTAAGTATGTAAAGAATGTTGATTTATTAATCAAAACGGCATATGCAAAAATAAAATCAATCTTTAAGTACACTTTACTGAATATGCCTGGTGAAGACAATAAATGCGCTCGGCAGGAAAAAGGAAACCGTAGGCGTCTTGATGATACGAATATATTGTGTATTTGTTATTAAAACAAATCTGTATTGTGATATGCAGGTTTCAACAGTTCCCCAAGGCGTTAGAGGTTTCCACTCCCCCCTATGTCCAGAGCTCTCCACCTGGCTGCATACCTCACTCCTAAGTCTCAGTTACCTAGAGAATAAACATTTCAAATTATTTGCTTGAGTGCAGTCAGAGCCAGACAATGACTCACTTCGTAAATGATAGCTTGCACCCACCTAACACTGCTGATGGAACATCTAAGATGGTGGTATACTTAACGCCAATTTTTGAAAGTCCAGAGTCCATCAAGGGAGGGGAATTGCTACCTAGATATTTGACTTGTGACCAAATAGTTAAATGTATTTAATAATAAAAGTACTGTAAATTTGCCCCACATTGACCTACGTGTGCTAGTTCTAGGTAAGTGACCCATTTAGTAGTGATGCCAAGATCAGGCTGACAGGCCAAGAGTCTGCTCTTTTTAAAAAGTTAGCAATGGCAGCCCCCATATGTCTGCCCCCCCCCACTAACGTGACTTCTTCCTTAGTCAGTGCTAAAGCTACTAGTGAGCTGAGCTTTCCTGTGGTCGTTGATGGGGAAAGTGCACGTTTATTATCTGTTCATCATTCTTGTGCTTACAGGGTTTTTGCTCTTTGTGAAAAGCTGAGCTAGCCAGTAAAGTCACATTAGGAAGCAACCACATGTCATATTTTGTACTCTACTGATACAGACTGTTTTCTAGCGCTTTGACTCTCAAAGTTTCCTGTTGATATCTATCTTTTTTTACATCAAAGAGCAAGACTACTAAAAAGTAAGGACTGTGCACTCAACACCACAGCTATCTTTGTGGTTAATCACTTTAAGGCCTCTGAATCTAAAACGCACATTACGGAGTCTATTCTGTTCACAATTACAGGAACGTGTCTAAATTCTCATATGTTTGTCAGAACCTAAGATATTTGCCCTCGTGTATATATACATGCTCTGTGCTGGCTGTTTTGGGGTTTATTTTATTTACATATAAACAGTTGTTAAAGGGATTCTCTAACTGTAACCCCTTTCATTTACTGGGAACCTGGTCATTTGAGATGAAGCAGGAGAGGTGTCCTCTGATTTGCCAAACACACAGAGAAGAAAACGCTTGTTTGCAATGGCTTGTCTGCTCTGCAAACTGCAGATTCTTAAGCTTATTGCAAATAAACATATTTCACAGAGATGAAGGAAGAGATGCCGGCAACATCACAAAGATTCTGTAAATATTTGCATAGATGTCTTGTTTTTGGAGGACCCCAACACATGCTTACAACTCATCATGAGTTTGTTGGCAATTGTCCATGTTGATGTTCTTGCTTCCTCTCTCAGCTCCAGCCATTGCTTTCATGACAGAAAAGTTGTTGATGCGGGGACTGATTGTAAAATGATATCTTAGAATACAAGTTCTGAACCAGGAGTATATGTACCCCAGGGGAACTTCCGATAGCTACAAGGGGGTACAAAGAAAGTGTGTGTGTATATGTATATATCTATATAGATAGATATATGTATCTATATAGATATCTCTATATCTATATAGATATATATAGATATAGAGATATCTATATAGATATAGATATCTCTATATCTATATCTATATAGAGCCGCAATTCCGCCCGTGCAAGTGAACACGATCGCGGCTATAAAAAAAAAAAAGCCGTGCGTCGCAAAAAAAGGTACTTGTACCTTTTTTTTCTTTTTTTTTAGCGACTTGCCGCGCAGATGTCACCCCATTGAAATCAATGGGGCTGTGTACACTAGCACACGATCGTGCGTCCTGGGTGTCAACCTAGCCTTAGCAAATGATAAAACTTAAATAAAACTGACCTCAAAATGTATTTCTAGAAAGAAAAATGTTGAAATATATTGAAATGGTTATACATGTCTACAAGATGTCGGGACGATTAAACTGCACTAGGGGACAGTTATCAGTAAAGTTTCACCAGTTGCATCCAGTAACATGCCACAGTTTCAGAATCTGTTGCAGACTTGTGACTGATCGTGATGTTGCTTTTAGTGCAATAAATGTTGCATTGCTTTACAGTTGATTTGTCACATTTTGCAAAAGTGTGACAGATTTGTTACAGATCTCTAACTCATCCCAATTTGTTTCAAACATAAAAAAATGGACAGAGAAGCATTTACTGATTTTCCAGTAATTTGTATTGCTGCTTAAATAGGGGTTCACAACACTTCTTAATTATACAACAGATCGGTGTGTTCATTCTGCCGCAATCTAGTTAATAACATTTGCCATATGTTTGACAACAAGCAGATATTTGAAGAATGGACATTCCCAAAGTGGTGCGACGCTCGCAGTTATTCAGCTGCAAAATGTATTAATGAACTGCGACTGATTTGCACACATTGCCTTGGTGTGACATTTGGTAATGGAGCGCGTCTGTGTTGATGTCCCTCAATGTATTTTATTTAGGGCTGTATTAGAATACCTTCTTAATGTTTTTTTCTTGACTTCACTGTTTTGCAGCCTGATGAAGCCCGAGAAGAGCATGGCACGTGTAACAAAGAGGCGACAAGGAGATACAAAAGTCATTCAGGACTTATGGACGGCTATAGAAGTGATTCGAAACCAGAAGCAGATTGCCAATATTGATAGGATTACCAAGTAAGTCTAGGAAATGTTTTCAGTAGGTTTGTTTAAAGAGCAATTCCATTTTTGTTTAGAATAAATCAATCCTCTCTGGGTGATCTGTGTACATTACAGTTTTTTTTGTTGCAGTTTCCTACCTGTTTCTGTTCTGAAGGAAAAGCTGTTTGTTGCAGCATGCCCTCTCCAAACTGATCCATGAATGGGAGGGTCTGGGTTCATTATCAGCTGGTGGGCTTCCTGCCTGTAATGGAGAAAGGTGCAGTGTCAGCATCCCTTTAGTAGTAATGAACCCTTGGGGAGTATCTCACCAATTGCACCTATTGCAAGGGGTGCCAAAAAGTATACTTGTATTTTAGTGCAGACCTCTGTGAAAATCTGTCAGCCAATCACAGAAGCAGGAAATTGGATTTCTCGGGGTGTTCTGTACGCCAACTGTGTATGGAACGCCTCCAGTAGAGCTGCAGCTAACGATTATTTTCAAAATCGATTAGTTAGCCGATTATTAAGTTCGATTAATCAGTTAATCGGATAAATAATAAAATAAAATGTAAAAAATGGCTCCAGTGATGGACTACTAGCTTGTATTGAGATTGCACTCCATCACAGGAGCAAGCTTGGAGCGGTGGAAGTAAAAAAGAAAAAAAATAGTGTGGTGTGCAATATAGTGAAAAGGAAAGTGTAAAATTATACAGCAATGAATGCAGAATGGCACCGACTATAGAGGACTACAAATCCCAGCAATAGTACATTATACAGAGCAATGCAGAATTTCACCAGCTATAGAGGACTACAACAAATCTCAGCAATAGTACATTATAGCTGGCGGTATTCTGCATTGCGCTGTATAATGTACTGTTGCTGGGTTTTGTAGTCCTCTATAGCTGGTGGTATTCCGCATTGCGCTGTATAATGTATTATTCCTTGATTTGTAGTCCTCTATACAGTGCAGTGCAGAATATCACCAGCTATATACCAGGGATACAACAAATCCCAGCAATACATTATACATACAGTGTATAATGTATCGCTGGGATTTGTATTCCTCTATAGCTGATGGTACATTGCGCTGTATAATATACAGCACAATGTACCATCAGCTATAGAGGAATACAAATCCCAGCAATACATTATAGAGCACCATGTGTGGGAAAGTGCAGGCATACCTGAGCACAGTCTTCCAGCAACTTGCTTCTGAGATCGGACCTGTCTATCAGCGGCTGTCATCCCCCCACACCTGCACCTCCTTACTACATCGCCCCGCGTCCCTGTGCCGATCGGCGGTGAATGTGAGGCGGGGAGGAGGTGCGGCGTAAAGAGCGTGGATGCAGGCGGGTCTGGCAGCGGCGAGTGTGAGGTGGGGAGGAGGTGCGGCGCACAGCTTGTGTGGAGCCGTGAACAGGGCCAACTGATCGGAAGCCGATTAATCGATTATTGAAAAAGTTGACAACTTTTTCAATCGATTATAATCGATTATGTCGATTAGTTGTTGCAGCCCTAGCCTCCAGATCGCCATATAGCATTGAATGTTTTTGACAGTTTAAGAACATTACAGCGGCTACAGTTTTAAATGGAAGTTACATTTTTATAACATTAAATTACAAAATGGCTTGCGTGACAATTATTTATGAGATATAGATAGATAGATAGATATAAATATAGAATTTAAATTAAATTATTTTTTTAAAGATTTGGGGATTTTTATATTAAGTGATGTTACTCTTTAACTTGGTAACAACTGACACAGTGAAACTGTTCCCAGTGAAATTAATTTTTCCAGCATTAGTCTGTTTACAGCATAAAGGTTTGTGATACATTTTGTTGAATTTAGCCAAATGGACTGTATACTTTTGAGTAAATTCATAAAATGAAATTGAGGACAGGCCTATATGCTATAACTTAGTATATAGCAGAATGCTGGCCACAGCCATTGTCTTTGTAGCCAGAGAAATCTTTCAGTAGAAGGGTGTTCACAAGTGCTTTATTAAGCAAAAAAGGGGGTATTTTGGAGATTGGGGTTTTTTGGGCACTCAAGACAAAGGTTGATATAAAAATTATAACTTTTATTAAATACTGGTGGAGTAACGACCGTGGTGGAGAACTGGTCGTTACTCCACCGGTTCCCGTCTCCTGAATCAAAAACTGCGAGACTACACATTTTTTTCTGAGATCATGTATAAAATTCAATACGAATCAACGCACTAATGACTGTCAATGGTTGACATTGTCAATTGACTCAACTAAGAGAATAGATTATTGTTAGGATAGTATAATTTTTGAACCAACTTTATATAACAAATTATCTGTCTCTACGAGCCATACCTAATACACCTAGATGAAACGGATGGTCATAAACATCTAACAATAACTCCATCTTTTGTTCCGATCTGATCACACGGAAAACATAATAAATAAACTAATTAGCTGTTTAGTCAATTAGATAATGTCAACCACACTGTAGGGGGTGCGACCTACAATTGAAATTTGTCTGTATGAATTCACCAATATATCTATGTGACTATAATTAGCCACAATTCAGGATTCTGGTGGAGCTCGTAGGTGTTCCTCTTGAGTTGTTTTTCTCTTTGATAATATGAGCTCGTCTTTTTAATCATGTATTTAATAAAAGTTATAATTTTTATATCAACCTTTGTCTTGAGTGCCTAAAAAACCCCAATCTCCAAAAAACAACAACTTTTTTTGCAATATAAAACCAGGGGTGTGGCACTCTCTATTTAACACCGTTTCTACCCCTTCCCCCTTTCCCTATGCAAGTTAAGTGCTTTATTAAAATGAATGAAAAATTTCATTTCTGGTCGATAAGCGGGTACTACGGTAAAAGTAGTGCTCTCTCATTTCTATTCAACTTGCTGAATGAGTGAATTGGAACTGAAGGTGCACTGACACATTAAAGCTCAGTATTCCCAAGCTTTTCCTGATGTAACACCCATAGCGCATATTACTTATGATCAGACAGGATCATAGGTGTGTTGGTAACAATTGGAAATGACCTGACAGAACTAGCAAATATCCGCTAGTAGGTTCTTGCTCTGGTTAGACAGAACACTGCATTAGCTCAAACTGTGTCAGTGGTTTCTTTGCTGCAAATTGTATACTCCGTCTACTTTTATGTTTCTTACTGTAAGTACATGAACAGATATGAACTTTAAACCTTTAGAGCTGAAGGCATGCAAACTCCCCAAGCCCTGTTTTATTGCCAGCATCTGGTTGTTTTCCGCTTAAAGCAAATCTTGGAAGCAGTGCTGGCTTATTGCATATGTAAATGCCGGAGATGGATACCGTGGTTGTAAATTCAGGTAGTGTCACTGTTGGCAGTATGGCCAGTCATTGCAGACACCTCTAGCAAACATCAGAGCGTGTCCGGTATATTTCCAGGCAGTTTATAATGCATCAAGTGTATTTCAGTTAATCCAACCACTATTTGTTTTTTTGTTTGTTTTTTAACCTTAGCAGAATACATAAAATACATGGAAAGTACTGGTATTTGTAAAACGATACATTTAACTGAAATAAATGACTGAGCATAACAGATTTTTAATCCTCTACAGCGCATCTTTATGCACATCTATCACTCTGCACAGTCAGAAGTGTCACTTATTTCCTGGTACAGAAATTCAGCTTCCTTAAGGGGGGACATGATTTTCATGTACTAAATGTTCTATAGTCATAGCGACATTAGCAACAAACTCTTTACGATTAATTCCGTAACAAAGACTAGAGGCCACCACCTGAAACTGGTAGAAAAAAAATTCAAACGCAAGAGGCGAAGGGGGTTCTTCTCAGTTCGCGCGGTTAGGGTCTGGAACTCGTTGCCACAAGCTGTGATTTCAGCTAATAGTGTGGAATTGTTCAAGAAGCTTTTGGACGATCTCCTGAGAAACGGTAATATACAGGGGTACAAGTACCCCTAATAACGAGATGACTCAGGGATCTATACACACACACACACACACACACACACACACACACACACACACACACACACACACACACACACACACTAGGTTGTACTTGATGGACATGTGTCTTTATTCAACCTCAAATACTATGTAACTATATGCCACCTCCAGCCCACTAATTGGACAATGTATTGGCGTAATCGCCTCTGCTAGTTAGCAGGGAAGTTACTGAGCAGTAAAGCCAGAAAGTACAGTGGCTTGCAAAAGTTTTCACTCCCTTGGCATTTTCATTTTTCCTATTTTTTGTTGCATTTTGATTTTTATTTGGATTACTTGCAATGGACATACACAAATATTTCAAAATGGTGAAGTGAAATCAGGAAAATAACTTGTTCTAAAAAAATTATAAAGAATGGAAAACCCCTTTGCTATAAAACCCCTGCATAAGATCTGGTGCAACCACTTGCCTGCAAAAGTCACATAATTAGTTAAATAAAGACTGTGTGTGTGTGTGTGTGTGTGTGTGTGTATTAGGACACCCGTCCAAATCATTGGATTCAGTTGTTTCAATCACCTCCATGGCCACAGTTGTAAAAAAAAATATCAAGCACCTAGACATGCAGACGCTTCTACAAACATTTGTGAAAGAATGGGTCGCTCTCAGGAGCTCAGTGAATTCAAGCGTGGTACCATCCATGAAAAGTCCATCCGTGAAATTTCCTTGCTACTAAATATTCCACGGTCACCTGTTACTGGTATTATAACAAAGTGGAAGCAACTGGGAACAACAGCAACTCAGCCACAAAGTGGTAGGCTACGTAAAATGACAGAGTGGGGTCAGCACATGCTGTAGCGCACAATGCGCAGAAGTCGCCAACTATCTGCTCAAAAGCTACAGACCTTCAAACTTCATGTGGCCTTCAGATTGGCACAACAACAGGGCGTAGAGAGCTTCATGGAATGGGTTTCCATGGCCGAACAGCTGCATCCAAGTCTTACATCACCAAGTGCAATGCAAAGCGTCGGATGCAGTGATGTAAAGCACGCCGCCACTGGACTCTAGAGAAGTCGAGACGTGTTCTATGGAGTGACGAATAA